GTATGGCTGCGTTCAATGCCCTATGCCTTTACTTGATGAACTTGCCCTCCCTCAACGGTTTTCTGCCAATTTGGACTGGGGGTGACTCCGATGCCCGTAGAGCACTGGCGAGTGCTCTACAGTGGCTCATCGCAGATGTTGGTATGAAGGATAGGTTATCAAGGGGACAGGGAGACCGTCAGTTCAAAGAGGCTGCCGGTGATAGTGATGATGATGATGACGGCGGTGGTCAGGCAGCCGGAAGACGCTCTCGCAAAGGGAAAGAGCGTGCAGTACCTCCGGAACTCGTGCGACCTTCCATAATGGTTACCGTGGTGGACCCCGATGCTCTAGGGGCATTCTTTATGCTCGTCCCACCACCTACTTATGACTGGAATGATCCCCTGAACGAACCTTCGTTCATCGGAATTTTGACCAAGATAACTTTCCCCGAGTTATGCAACTTGATCCTGAAGCACACCGCACCCGGCAGAGCAGTCAGGACTATCTGGGGCGCAATTGAGAATGTCCCCCCGGCAGCTGTTCCTCCCGTTCGGCCGGTGGAGGTACAAATTACCGATTCAGAGGAGCTCGAAGGTTGGTTGAAGAACAGCAATGCCAGGCCTCGGAGGATATTGGCGGTCCTCCACAGAGCAGGCGCGGGTGCTAACCTGGGTGGTGCGGAATCCCCCCCGTTGAACCCGGCTTTCCCTCACGTTGAGGAAGATGATTATAGCATGATCGATATTCCTGCAGAGGATTCGGATTACGAGGAGGGAAAGCACCGGATAAATGCCAAAGGACTGAGGGTATATATGCCTAGAACTGATGCCAGTAATCAAAGGCTAATTCAGACTCTTGTTAGGCGTCGCGATAGACAGCAGGATGCTATCGACGATTTAGACCCCAAATACCTTAGGAAGTATCCTTTGGGTGTCGGGGTTGCTGACCCAAACTTCTTACAGGGACGATCTGGACACCTGCCGGGATAGCAGCCAAGAGAGCTGCTGACACACTCGCGGCTGCTGGTGCTGGAGGTGGTGGTGGAGGTGGTGGAGGTGGTGGTGGTGGTGGTGGAGGTGGTGGAGGTGGTGGTGGTGGTGGTGGTGGTGGTGGTGGTGGTGGTGGTGGTGGTGGTGGTGGTGGTGGTGGTCTAGGACCTCCACCGCCTCCGGGCGGACCTCCTCCTCCTCCGGGCGGCGGTGGTGGTGGAGGACCAGCTGGAGGCGGTGGTGGTGGTGGTGGTGGGCCAGCTGGAGGCGGTGGTGATGGTGGTGGTGGGCCAGCTGGAGGCGGTGGTGATGGTGGTGGTGGTGATGGTGGTGATGGTGGTGGGCATCATTAGTTCCCTTTGGTATAATCTCTAACTTCCCTTCCTGCGGAATTGTCACTAACCTTTTAATAGTTGTTAGGATTACTCCATGAGCACTCGCGATAGCTATTGAGGTGCGGTACGATTTGGTGTTTTGGATTTCCCTTTGTCTTGCGAGAGTATATCAATGGATGGGTTATATCGGATAGGATTAGATTAGATTAGATTAGATTATTCCAGGTAGTAATTGCATTGCTTTTATTTCAAAGTCGAATCAAACTCCTAGATTGCTCTCAGAGTACTCGGTACCGCTTCAGAAAGTGCAGTAAAATGAGTGATGATAAATGATGCGGTTGAGTGCAGAAATTGTGGTAACATAGGATGATCCCTGCCGTAAGAGGATTAGCGGTGCAAATTTTTCTTGATTAGCGGCGCAAATTTTCTCGCCAAGAATTGATTTCTAATCGAAGATATCGCGAGTGCTCCTAGAGCAATGCGGATATTCCTGCCAGTCATCAGAATGGCTCCCACCAAGCGCTCCTCCGGTTCAGCACCTCTTGCCCCAAAGCGCCCACGACTCCCAAAACGACCTGAAGAACATGAAGATTTACTGACTGACGAGTCTGAAATATCTTACCGAACATTGACTCCACTGCCAGCCCGCACTCGGAGTAGTCAATCGACCACCGCCGCTCAAATAACTCGGAAAGGTCTTCTCCGTTCCTCCGAAACCCCCACTGGGAGGAGCAGTCCTAGGAGGGTAGAATTTCATCTCCCCGAGGACCATACTGATAATTTTGAAGCGCAGGAGGAGCCTGAGGCAATTGAGGCGCCAGAGGTGGAAGAAACTGTTGATACTAGCCACTCAGACTATGATGATGCTCCGGAGAATGACCACGAGAGCTCTGAGGAGGATGAGGATGAACCGGAGGATGAACCTCAAGCCCCCCCCCCATCTTACACCCAGAAGTCTCAGACTGTCGGAAAGAGACCTCATACAGTTCAGCCGACTACTGCCAGAGCACTGGGCAGTGCTCGGAGGAAACCAACTGGCGCGGTAGCGGAGGTCATTGCTTCTTCCAACGTGTCGGTGGACGTGGTACAGGTTCGACTCTATCTCGCTCATTGATGCTTTTTAACATATAAGTATTAGTGGCTAACGATTCAGAGGGGAACTCGACCGGGCGCGAAAGTAATACGTAAACAAGGTCAAGGGAGAGCAGCACCCACTTCAGCACCCAGCCAGAATGCATCCCAGAGAGCACTCCCGGCATCCCAGAGAGCACCCCCAACACCCTCACAGTCTAGGCCCTCTGAACCTGTTTATGCTCATGAGTATACCTCTTCTACGCGCCATATCGATTTTTCCTCGATGCGCTCTCGATACGGGGAGTCGTCCCCCACTTACCGGACATATCGTTCTTCACCGCCTAGCGAGGTAATTGGCGAGAACTCTGTGAGCAGTCGTCAGATTCCTTCACGCCAACTTCACGGTCAAGGTAGATCGCGAAGAGTCTACGAAATCGAGTACCTTTCCTCATCTAGGGGGGGGGACGAGAGTACTCCGATGCCGGAAAGCGAGGGTATTTTGATTCCGGGAAGCAAGGTTAGTATTCCGGAGGACACTCACGACGTCTTTGAGAACACTGGCGACATTCCTTCGAGCCAATTGACTCAGAGGTCTGTGGTCCCTAACTCTAGGAGTGCAAATGTGCTGTCAGTGCAGGCTCAGAGGATTGAGAAGGAGTGTAGCGTGTTAATCGGGGAGCATACTCTTCTACATGAGCCCTTTCCACCTGCAGCAAGACTTTCGGTACTAGTAGTGAGCATGTGGGCAACTGCTAGTCGCCGAGTGGGGTGTAGAGTAGACCTTGATGAGGTCGTTATTAAACAGGTGAGTGCCCCCAAAAGGATTACGAGTGCTCTGGAAGCATAATTGAGAATGATAGGTCAGAAGTCTGCACTCCCGTGTCCGTTCCCACTTGATGCACGAGGTGAAAGGGCGCCTGGCGGACTCTACGATATACGGGCTTGGAAATTTTGTGGGGCCTGAGGCGAGGGCGGCTCAAGTGGAATACCTTTTGAAGAATGATCGTTTCTTGAGCCCCCAACAGCATTACGAGGTATGATGCCAGTGGATGCCCAGAGAGCACTCGGGATAGCCGGTAACAGATTCTAGACCTACCGACTGCGCTTCCTGGCTCCGGAAATTATCGATATATTGTATTTTAAATACTTCGATGGGGTAAGAATGCGAGGGGTTAGGGATCCCGAATTTCTAGAGCGGATAACCCCTACCCTTATTTGCCTGATATCGACGGCGATCTGGCACGGCATTCGGGCGTGGTCAACAAGGAGTTACGTGAAGCCTGATAATTTTCAGTCGCAGAATGAGAGTGTTGTGAATAAGTATGGCCCGATGCCCTCATTGATATGGCGAGTGCCTTGGGAGCAATGACGGATGCTCCTAGGGCTATACGGGATTGACAAGCTGACATCCAAACACGAGTAGAAACGTTCAACAGGATGAGCAACACTTGGAAGGGGAGAAGTAAACAGAACCAGGAGGCAACCTTGGAGGTAATCAAAGATAACCTTCGAGAAAAGGTATGATACTTCTAGATGCCGGTAATGCGAGTGGTATTCTAAATGCTAACCCTAATAGATACGAGATAAAAAAGGGGTAACGATTGAGATTATACCGGAGGAGGGTTTTAGCGAGGACGATGAAGCTCTGGCTGCGGATCTTGCCGCATTCCGAGATGCTCGGAGAACACCCACGAGTGCTCCAGGAGGTCGGGTTGATTCCGACAGCGCCCAGGACGAAGTGATTAATGCCCGACTTCGCGGCATTGACACCGAAGAGGAGGGGGAGGAGGAAGAAGAACAGCCGGAATTACCTGTAGCGGGGGATTACGAAGGGGGGGGGGAGGAGGATGTGTAGAACAATCACGAGTGCTAAGGGAGATAGTGGGGGATTTCTTCTGATTTGTATATTGTATTAGGGTTAGTTAGGGTGTTAAATGGCGTATTGTATTTAGTATTAGGCGGAGGATCACGGTGTTGAATACACCAATTCTCAAAGTGCAGTCGCGAGTGCTCTGGAGACAGTAGAGATCGTCGTGCGAGTGATGTTTTTGTAATCTCATGGGGGAATTGTGAATACCAGAGGCCGGAACGGCGGAGAGGTGTATGCCTAGAGAGAACGGGGCGCCGACATGTAGGAATCGGTACGTCGGGCATGAGCCAGATTTCAAAGCACCCCATCCGGCAACGTCAGGGGGAGTCAGGGCAATCATTCTATCCCCAGAGCCCGCTGGAGCAGTGAAGAGTGCTCCAGGAGCAGTCAGGATATCCAACCGTGCAACTGGCGTTCTCTAGCGGGTAGAGTGACGTCCTAGTTACACCGGGCGCTATTATTTAGTGTCGGGGCCCGTTGTGCGGACTAGTGTGCGCTGGGGCGGAATAATGTGCGCCAGACTTCGCCAGGAGCACTGGCGGTATCTCTGGAGAGGTAGTTTACCTACCGAGCGCCCTGAGCGCCCTGAGCGCCCCGGGCGTCTGGCGAAGGCTACAGGTTTGCTGATGCCTGCGGAATATCTGCCATCGCCGCCCCTTGAGACAACGTCGGAGACACTTGTCACTCCCTCAGCCCCTAGAGTTAGCCACCACACCTTGGACTGATATCTCGATGGATTTCATAGTAGAAATGCCTAAGGAGAAATCAGGATCCCGTAACGTATTGGTAGTTGTAGACCGTTTTACGAAGATGGCCCATTTCATTCCAATGACGGGAATCAACGCGGAACAGACCGCTAACACATTCGTCAAAGACATCTGGCGTTTTCACGGACTTCCTAGGAGCATCGTCTCGGACAGAGGAACACAGTTCGTATCAGCATTCTGGGCGGCAATTACGGAAAGGTTGGGAATTCGTAGGAGACTCTCTACTTCTTTCCACCCACAGACCGATGGCCAGACAGAATGGACCATCCAGCACATGGAAGGTTACATTCGGGCATATACGGCAGGGACAGGCAAGAAATGGAAGGACCTGTTACCTATCTGCGAATACGCCTACAACAATGCGAAGCATACGTCGACCGGGCAATCACCGTTCTACTGCAACTATGGTTTCCATCCCCGAACGGACTGGCCTACGGATGCAGAGATCGAACGATTATATGCCAGTGGGAACAACTACTTGGACGAGATCATTACGGCTCATGAGTTAGCGAGAGATACGCTACAGAAGACTTTCGACAGGATGGCATCAAAGCCAGGACCAGCAGTACAGCGGTTCACTATCGGTCAGAAGGTCTTGCTGGATACTCGAAACCTAGGAGGATACTCCAAGTGGTCAGACAAGTTTACAGGACCATTTACGGTTTCAGCAGTGGTGGGCAATCGGGCTTACCGTCTCGAACTTCCGGTAGAATGGAAGGTTCACGACGTCTTTCACGAGATGCTGCTGCGACCCTATCGCGAGGACCCGGATCCAACCAGGCGGCAAAATACACGCAAACGACTGGCAACACCCGAGCCACAAGAAGCATTGGCGGAGGAGAACTTCCAGCCGACTGTGAACATACGACCCCACACACGAAGTCAAGGCCCAGCTATCGATGACGAACGGGCTCATAAACGACAACGGAATAGGCGGGACTAAGCTCGATACCTTTCCCTACTCTATGACTTTTCCTCCAGGGTTTTTATCATAGAAGGGTTTTAACGGTCGAGGGCGACGTCTAGGAAGGGGGAGTAGTGTTACAGGAACCACGGAACACTGTTCTAAAGGCTTAGAACAGTGAGGAATGCGAGTGACGGGTTATGATGCGAGGACGGTCGGGTAACGGAAGGACAAGCATAGAAAGGTATCGGGTAGTGTGGGGGCACGCGGTGTTACCACGCTAGTCCCATACTATTATGGCGGCACGCTTACTATTGGGTGTCTCACCCGGAATAGAATAGTAAGCGGGGCTTACGGCTGTAGGCTGTTCTACTTAGGGAAGTAGGTCTAGGATAATAGTATGGTACAGCCCGATGACTGGCAATTGCAAGGTTCATGGTTACGTGTCGGAATTAGAATGGAGGACGGAACTATGCGGGGGGCGCTTTTCTATCTGGGTTATCTTCGGGAGTACTATCTTATTCTATTATCGTTGTATCAGTTAGTATTAGAAAGCGGGCCTTGGTATAGGTTCCAACATGTATAAATAGGGCAGGATTCTGCGAAGGCTTGAGTGTATCATCAACCACCAAGTCAAGGGAATCTGGTTTACAATATCATCAGTTTAAACGCTACAGAATCATCGCTTAGCACTGGCTATTTCCCCAAACAGTGGCTCCGGCCAATATCATCTAAAAAGACCCTTCCTTATACCCTTCATATTCTTGACCGCACCTCCAAAGATCCCTGTCGCACCTCCCATAATCGCCCCTGTCGCATATCCCATCATAGCCCCTGTCGCGCCCCCAATGGCGAATGTCGCACCACCAATGGCGATTGTCGCATCTGCGATGGCGGCTGTGGCACCTCCAATGGCCGCTGTCGTACCTTTCACGACCGCTGTCGTACCTTTCATGACCGCTGTCGTACCTTTCGTGACCGCTGAAGTTAATGGGTCCTCCTTGGCGGCATCTGACTGGAGCTCCACAGTTTCGATGATCTTCATCTGAAAATTGGCAATGGAGGAGTCTTTCGGAGATCCATCCTCGGCCAGCAACTCTTTGATCTTTGCATGAGTCACTGCCTGCCTGTTCTCCTTTGGTGTTGTGTACCACTCACAACCGTTTTTAATATCTGATGCGGATAAGGGCTGTGCGTTGTCTCTGCGACTCTTGAGCCTCCCATCAATTTCTTGATGTAACAGGGCATATGCCATGATGAGTACGGTATCTAGCATGCATGCCAGGATAAGGTCCGCTGGAAGGGTATCATCCCATAGCCCATTCATGTACTGGTCGATGGCATCCCAGGGTCTCCCGATGAGAGACTTGATTAGTGCGGCGTCTCCGGCGAACCGAACATTAAAGCTTTCAAGGACAGGCACCATAAGCATCATTGACATCTTCCTTCCCTCGGGTTTCTCATCGCGATTGAAGTTGAACCTCTTCCCACCAAACTTGAAGCTGTGCCAAATGGTGTATGCTCGCATGCTTTCCTGGGTCGCCAACGAAATCTTGGGCTTAAGCTCGATACGCTGTGCTTTGATCTGTGCTACATGGACAGCTTCGTTCTCCAGGTTCATTGAAGTCTCTATGAGGAGGTTCTTTGGCGTGTCCAGAGCTATTTTATTTCGACTTGTCAGCGACTGAAATGGGAGCCCATAATGTGCTGTATGTTTACTTACTACCCTGAGCACTAACATAAGTGCGGGCCGGTAGACGTTGACATTGTATTTTTATATTCTCGATCGCGTCATTAAGCTCAGCTAGGATATCGATCTCGGAGCTGAAATCCCGATCAAGGATTTGCTTGATCTGGTTCAGTAGCTTGTCCTCGTTCCTGAGAACCACCAAAATAGGAATTTGACCAAAGTTCATTTCAAAAAACTCCTTTTCTGATGAGGGAACTTTCTTTTGAGAGCAGTCGAGGAAGTACCACATGGCGTGGATCTGCTCCCGAACATCGGCGGTATTGCGGTGCTGTTCAAGAAATGCCTCGATGCGAGCACGGTCATCACTGCCGCCTTCACCAAACCCATTAGAGAGATATATCCGTACTTGGTCATTATCAGGGATTCCGATGGGTGTGTTGATATCATGTTTTGTCTATTTTCCGTCATTAGTGTCCTTGGAGCCGGTGAGGAACAGTGAGTTAAAGGGCAGTGATTGAATCTACCTTTTGAACATTACCAAAGACCCTTCCAATCAATTCCGACTTTCCCATGCCTGGTTTTCCGATCACCAGTAGATTCAGGCGCTGTACTGCACTCGAACCCGCCCCCAAAATACCATTCACTGTCTGCTTCTCCCACCATGGTATCGTACCCTGGGGTAGGGTGTGAAACGATCTCTCAAAAAGTTTCTGAAATACTTCCATTGGTACACTTGTAGCCTGAAAGAAGAGCTGACATCAAAGACCAAGTATGCAGAGGGATGCAGAAACACCTTCGGTTTTAATATTTTGAGATATGGTGGCGTCGTGAGATATTCAAGGTAGTTCCTGGGCTCTGACGACATGTATGAACCAGGCATGTTGAGCGCCAGGCCCCACGCTCGAGTCGCCGTGTGGTGCTTGATCATGTCGAACATCTTCATTGCAATATCATGCGGAGTTTGAATGACATTATCCTCGCCGGTAAACAAGATATCGTAGGGTTCCACCTCAGGATCGAGGGCGAGTCCGTAGTCTTTGGCGGCTTGAAGAATCCATTGCAGAGGCCACAATGCCAGACCCTGCACCTTGCGACCACCACCAATGTCATGATGGTAACCAAAGAACCACGCTTCCAGATAGCTACTATCTGCTGAATCGGCGTCAGATTTCCAGAGGTCAGGGTTAAACAACGGACGCGCTTCGTTAAGTGCAAGGGCGTGCCGGAAGTGGTCCACGATGCCAGGGGCGTCCATTTCAAAATCAATATTTGATACACCATGGCTTAGATAGTTGGTGACAGGGAGCGGTATCACAGTCTTGACAGTGTCAAAAGCGCCTAGCAGTCGAACGCGGGGTGATTGAACGCAGAATGGGCTATGAGAGTTAGAGAAGGCGTTATGCATATATGATAACTGGTGGTTCCCAACATTGAGGGTATCACCTACAGCAGCTTACACTTTCGATTTTTAACGGGCTTCTTTAGCATCGGAGTTAGTATTAGCTACTTAATAGCTTCCTTTTGCAAGAATATGGGTAAACATACCTTGGTACCAATGTACGACCACTTGGTAATTGAAGCGTATTGCTGCAGGAGTTCCTTGAACTTGGCCTGGAAGACAGTATCGTTGTTCTCATCCTTATCGAAAAATTCTGCTTTTATCAGGCCAACATATTGGATGAAGGATGCCAATGCCCTCGAGATAACTAAATGTTGATTAGGCCTGGGATCGTTCCTGAAAAATGGGCGGCGGCAGGTATGAGGACTTACAGGCACCCCGACTGAATCCAAAAATAAATATTTCATGACGTTGAGCATCGTTGTGCTGCAATTGCTGACAACATACCTTGTAGCCATTCTGGAGAATGTCCAAATAACCTGTTCTCATACACAAGTTAGACAGCCCATTAGGTGATGACAGGACTCCCCAAAAGTCTAATTACCATGCCCAGTTGCGCAATCAAATAAGGAAACTGCCCTGTTCAAGTAGCCCCCATATTCTGCATCCTTGGTACCAATTCCTTCGAAGTACTGCACAAACTATTTTTGAGGTAGTTTTCGTCAGTAAAAGTAGAGTCTTCCGAAGAAATGATAGTGCTCGCCTTACCTGGAATGTGTTACAGGAACTATGGAGCGCTGTCCTAGAGACGAAGGACAGTGAGGAATACGAGTGACGGGTTGTGACGCGAGGATGGTCGGGTAACGAAAGGACAAGCATAGAAAGGTATCGGGTAGTGTGGGGGCATGCGGTGTTACCACACTAGTATTATACTATTATGATGGCACGCTTACTATTGGGTGTCTCACCTGAAATAGAATAGGAAGCGGGGCTTACGGCTGTAGGCTGTTCTACTTAGGGAAGTAGGTCTAGGATAATAGTATGGTACAACCCGATGACTGGCAGTTGCAAGGTTCATGGTTACGTGTCGGAATTAGAATGGAGGACGGAACTATGCGGGGGCGCTTTTCTATCTGGGTTATCTTCGGGAACGTTATCTTATTCTATTATCGTTGTATCAAGTTAGTATTAGGAAGCGGGCCTTGGCATAGGTTCCAACATGTATAAATAGGGCAGGATTCTCTGAAGACTTGAAGGTATCATCAACCACCAAGTCAAGGGAATCCGGTTTACAATATCATCAGTTTAAACGCTACAGAATTATCGCTTAGCACTAGCCATTTTCCTTAACAGAATGTTTTTTGCCCATCGGAATCGCTTACAGGCCCCGACCTTGCCATGTCAAATATGGTCTTGATCAAATCCTTCGTGCCAGAGGTTTTGCCTTTTGAATTTTCTTTTCAGCCATCGCAAGCGGGGCGCGGGGAAGGGGAATTAAGATGAGTGATGGTTTGTGGCTTACCCCTCATCGCACTAAATGACCCCTGCATTGTATCTCCGGTTCCATCAAAGCAGAGAATGAGTCGGACTGGGAGGCCATCGACGTTCTTCTCCGTTGGCTTGAAAAACCCGGTCTCAGTAGTATTGGTGTTCATGTTTTTTTCTGTGCCTGGAATATTCACCTGTATGTACCTCCGTCTGTAAGTGTCTATGTATATAACTTGTGATGGATGTTGAGCATTTCATATCCTCTTATATAATTATTCGATCTAGATCTGCGTCGGCCCCCCACCAAGCCTTAACCATGATTTGCTTATTGCGTCCACATTGAAGGATTCCATTCGACGGTTGAAGAGTGAATCATCAGAAGGAACCGTTCTGAGGTTACTCTGGCTCAGCGTGATGGATGAATCACAGCTGACCATAATAGCCGGCTGGTTAATAAATCTTGTATTATTGTATATTGTTCCAGATAGAATGGTTGGTGGGATCGGCACCAACCAGGTTACCGGAATTTGGAGCTACTAGAGTCTTTTGCCGCGCAAAGGGCCTAATTGAGCTGAAGACCTCTTTCATTGTGGACGAGTGATGTGCTCCTGGGTTTCCCCACGATCGCAGCCATAGTTTCGATCACATCGTAAATTCGGGCTTATCCCTTAAGCTGTCGATGCCGACCCCCCTATAATAGAGGAATTATATTTTTATGAGAGATCTACTATTTGATAAGAAAGATAACGGGATCTGTTAGTAAAGCCACACCAAATTTGCTTTTTCTTGGGGGCCAGCATCCCGTGACAAGTTAATGGATAAAACGACTACAGTGCCGTACCACTGCCGTAGCACTACCGTATACCCCCATTTCTGATACTGAACTTAAGGATACAATGTTGCGCGCTAGTAGTAGTACTGCGCACTAGTAGTGGCCCACCCCGCGACCGTGAGTACTTTGGATTTTGGGTATCAAGTAATTGAGGAGGGCCTTTAATGGGGTGGGCATTCGGCTCCCCGCTTCCACCTCCTAGAATTATGGGAGCCTTGACCCCCGTCCTCTTCCCCAGTACTTTGATGGTAGGCTTACTAAACACCCCTGTCGCTGTTTACCAACCACACTGCGAGAACCAGTACTCGTTTACCACGAAAAGAACCAGGAAATGCAGTTGCTCAGGGCAAGGATTATTTGTATGGGGTGGCGGTGATCTCTCATACAAATCATTACTGTTTCCGTCACTTGCATTTTTTGGTTCTTACCCTGGTATACGAGTAGAGATCACATATTGAGATCCGGGGGTTTTTGGTTGGGCCTGGCTTGGGACAAGCAATGCACATCGAAAGAAGCTGTATTTCATGGACCTGAAGTGACCCGCAAAACGAATTTAATCAATCACCGGATCGATTTATATAATTATGATGGGTGAAGCTCTACTTGTAATCAATAGATTATAAAAGATCACCTTTGGTCGGGTGGCAACCCAAAAGAAGCAGTAGTAGACTGCGGGGGAAACGGTCCGAATTGGCTGGTATTGAGGCCGATGGTACGGCTGAGTATGAGTGGAGTCGGATAAGAAAAGGTCAGATAATAACGGGGAATATTACACATGTATAGTACCTGCCTACTTCTACAGTTAGCCAATATCATGTAGGAAATCGCTTAGACAAGGATGAAGGGGTGAATGCGCAACATGTGATATGTGATTAATGCGATTCAAGCTTTGATGGTGTTAAGGGAAATGGCTAGTGCTAAGCGATAATTCTGTAGCGTTTAAACTGATGATATTGTAAACCGGATTCCCTTGACTTGGTGGTTGATGATGCCCTCAAGTCTTCGCAGAATCCAGCCTTATTTATACATGTGGGAACCTATGCCAAGGCCCGCTTTCTAATACTAACTGATACAACGATAATAGAATAAGATAATGCTCCCGAAGATAACCCAGATAGAAAAGCGCCCCCGCATAGTTCCGTCCTCCATTCTAATTCCGACAGGTAACCATGAACCTTGCAATTGCCAGTCATCGGGCTGTACCATACTATCATCCTAGACCTACTTCCCTAAGTAGAACAGCCTGCAGCCGTAAGCCCCGCTCCCCATTCTATTCCGGGTGAGACACCCAATAGTAAGCGTGCCGTCATAATAGTATAGTACTAGTGTGGTAACACCGCGTGCCCCCACACTACCCGATACCTTTCTATGCTTGTCCTTGTTACCCGACCGTCCTCGCATCACAACCCGTCACTCGTATTCCTCATTGTCCTAAGCCTCTAGAACAGTGTTCCGTAGTTCCTGTAACACTACTCCCCCCTCCTAGACGTCGCCCTCGACCGTTAAAACCCTTTCTATGATAAAAACCCTGTGGGAAAAGTCATAAAGTAGGGAAAGGTATCGAGCTTAGTCTCGCCTATTCCGTTGTCGTTTATGAGCCCGGTCATTACCGATCGCTGGGCTTTGACTTCGCGTATGGGGGCGTATGTTCGAGGTCGGCTGGAAGTTGTCGTCTGCCAATGCCTCCTGTGGCTCGGGTGTTGCCAGTCACTTTCGTGTATTCTGTTTTCTGGTGGGGTCCGGGTCCTCACGATAGGGTCGCAGCAACATCTCGTGAAAGACGTCATGAACCTTCCATTCTACCGGAAGCTCAAGGCGGTAAGCCCGATTGCCCACCACTGCCGACACTGTGAATGGTCCCGTGAACCTGTCTGACCACTTGGAGTACCCTCCAAGGTTGCGAGTATCCAGCAAGACTTTCTGACCGATATTGAACCGCTGTACTGCTGGTCCTGGCTTTGATGCCATCCTGTCGAAAGTCTTCTGTAGCGTATCTCTCGCTAACTCATGAGCCGTAATGATCTCGTCCAAGTAGTTGTTCCCACTGGCATATAATCGTTCGATCTCTGCATCCGTAGGCCAGTCCGTTCGGGGGTGGAAGCCATAGTTGCAGTAGAACGGTGATTGCTCAGTCGACGTATGCTTCGCGTTGTTGTAGGCGTATTCGCAGATAGGTAACAGGTCCTTCCATTTTTGCCTGTTCCTGCCGTATATGCCCGAATATAACCTTCCATGTGTTGGTTGGTTCGTTCTGTCTGGCCGTCGGTTTGCGGGTGGAATGAAGTAGAGAGTCTCCTACGAATCCCCAATCTTTCCGTGATTGCCGTCCAGAATGCTGACACGAACTGTGTTCCTCTATCAGAGACGATGCTCCTAGGAAGTCCGTGGAAACGCCAGATGTCTTTGACAAGTGCGTTAGCGGTCTGCTCCTCGTTGATCCCCGTCATTGAAATGAAATGAGCCATCTTCGTAAAATGGTCCACGACTACCAATACGTTACGGAATCCTGATTTCTCCTTAGGCATTTCTACTACGAAATCCATCGAGATATCAGTCCAAGGTGTGGTGGCTAACTCTAGGGGTTGAGGGAGTGACAAGTGTCTCCGACGTTGCTTAGCTCTCTGGCATACATCGCAAGTCTTGACGAAGTTGGCTACATCCGTGGACATTCCTGGCCACCAGTAGTTCCTATCAATCAACTCAACGGTTTTATCCCTTCCTAAATGCCCCGCTACGGGTCGATCATGATGTTCCTCAATGACCTGCTTGATCGCGTAGCCCGGTACTACCCATCGACCATCGTGGGTGGGGTCATTCGAATCGGGACTCCATTCAGCGGCAGGCACTACCTTTACGATAGCAGCCTCCGGTGGTCCAAAGATCTCAAGGTTTAAGTCAGGGAGGTGTTCATCCGGAACCATCCTCCGAACCCATCGTCTTTCCTGTTCATACCAACCCTGTAGTGGCTGAGGCAGCTCTACGCTTGGTATGTCGTACCACTGATCCAACTGACTCCATTCCTCTTCGGGGTTGCCAATCACTTCAGACCCAGTTTCTACGCTGGTCCGTGATTTCCTGACAAATTGCTCTGCGCTGGGTAGCTGTTTTACGGGCTGCTCACGCATTACTCCCCCTTCCATCGCGAACTCTGGACGCCTTGTGACTGCATCTGGCTTGCCGTTCTTTTCGCCTGGTCGGTAATGGATCTTGAAGCGAAAAGGTGCTATCTTCTCGGCCCATCTGGCTTGTCTTCTCGACAACTTCTTGGTCGTTCTGAAATACTGCAGGTTTTGGTGATCCGAATGTATCTGGATAGGGATGTCTGTCCCTTCCAGCCAATGTCTCCAAGTTAAGAGGTCAGAAACTATTGCGAGCATCTCCTTGTCATAGATCTCATAGTTGACCTCTGCCTCGTTGAACTTGCGAGAGTAGTAAGCTACCGGATGTAGGATACCGTCCTCGAACACCTGCGAGAGTACTGCGGCCTCAGCCCAGTCACTCGCATCAGTTTCCACGATTGCTTCACGGTGTTCGTCGTAGTGTCGGAGTATTGGAGCAGACGTAAATCTCTTCTTGAGCTCCTCGAACGCATCTTGCTGTTCCCTGCCCCATTTCCATCCGGCATCTTTCTTCAGGAGATCGGTCATAGGTCTGCAAACCTCAGAGTATCAGTGGATAAACCGTCTTAGGAAATTGGCGAACCCGAGGAAGCACTGAAGTTCCTTGACCTTGGCTGGGGCTAACCAATCTTCGATCGCCTGGACTTTCTTTGGTGATACTTGGTTCCCTTTTCCTGATAGTATAAATCCCAGGAATTCTACCTCCTGTTGATACCATTCCGTTTTCTCGAGGTTTCCGTATAGATGGTGTCGTCGCAGTCGCTCCAAAACTTCTCGTACAAGAGTCGTATGCTCTTCTCTAGTCTTTGAATACATTAAGATGTCATCCAGGTAGACTACTACGCCTTGATCTAGAAGATCCTTGAATATGGTATTGACCATGACCTGAAACGACGCAGGAGCATTGGTCAAGCCGAAAGGCATTACCCTATATTCGAAAAGGCCGTATTTCGTTCGGAAAGCGGTTTTCCATTCTTCGCCCTTAGCAATCCTAATCAGATTATAGCCATTTTTCAGGTCTATTTTCGTGAAGTAGAGTGCTCCTTTCGTTGCGTCGGCCAGCTCATTCATAAGCGGCAGTGGATAGCTGTTCTTGATCGTGATTCCATTCAAGCGGCGAAAGTCGACACATAACCGAAGCTTACCATTTGCTTTCGGAACGAACAGGACGGGTGCCGCTGCTGGACTGGTGGAGGGGACTACTTTGCCGGAGGGC